CTAATATTAGTTAATTACAATCTGATAATGTAAGTCGTCCATTAGTCCAACTTTTTTATTAAAATTCTGTCTCCATTTATATTTTTAGGTTATATTAGATAGATTTTTCTTATGAAACTACTGCTGGGTGGGTCTATGTTGTCATTTAGAATTGATGAATGGGTATGAAGTACATATATACACATTTATGATGTTAGATAGGCAAAGTTTAATTACTCCGAGGAAAATATATGAAGTTGTTATTAACTATCTAACTTTTTGCTATCCTGAACTAAATTCCACATCGAGTCGTTGACTACTTTTTAATTGGAAATACATACAATATATACGAACTAGTATTGTCCGCGGCTCCGCCCGCGTTCAGATAACCAAAAATCAAATTCTTAGGTTTTTACATATTAGTATAAGCTTACATTGGAGTTTTTGTATTTTTTCTCAAAAATGAGATATTTCTCGCGGTAAAAAGTATCCTATATGTTGACCTGGACTACTATCACCATACCAAAATTTCATCAAAATCCCTCCAGTAGTTTTTCCGTGATGCGGTAACAGACAGACATACAAAAATCCTAAAAACTATAGATTCGGCCTGTGTATCCATAATAATGTCTATTCAATAAGATTTTCCAAAAAATATTTAATCTATAGATTCGGCTTAGTTACAATTTTATTATATGCATAGATAATAATGTTTAGTGTACCGTACTTATCATATTACAAACTTTGATAGAAATTAATTACATATATCCATGTTTCTAAGTTTACAATAATAATAATGTCATCAACTCCGTGCTACTACTAAGAATATCTTAACAGAAAAACTCAGTAGTCAAACTTGGCCTGAGCCGGGACTCGAACTCAGGACCTCCGGTTCTGCAGTCGTACATGCCAGCCACTAGATCGCCGAGGTAGCTTCTAAGTTTAACAATAACATTTCTAATATTACCTACTTAAGTATACTAAATATATACTGCCGTTTAAAATGGTTATATTTACCTAATTGTCCACAACGTCTCTATTGTCGGTCACTTGGCTTCGATTGATTTTCAGTGTTTTATGTCTTTTTGAAAAAGCTTCTTTTAAATGCAGAGTAATTTTCAATGTCCACCTATAAATATACTACAATGTATATTATAAAAGGTGCAGCTATCTGTGTCCAAGTACTGTTTTGACATAAATTTCACTCCTGCTGGGACGGCTGTAAGGCAAAATAAACAGGTTGTTTAAGATATATGTCGTGTAGCTAATAAACCTTTGGCCGTCTGGGAACCCTGACTTTATAACAGACCTCCGCAGAATAATCTGTTGTACAATAAATGACCAGATTACCATTAAAAAGTTGAATTGACTGAATAGATGTCACTTGAGAAGATTTACACAAGCCTGATAGATCATACGGAACCGGAACTGTTTGTGTTGCAAATGACAGGGGTAAGAATTAATTACGTCACACATGAATCATTCATTTGATTTCGTAGCAAATTCAATCTTCTATCTATACATATAATAAAATTGTAACTAAGCCAAATCTGTACATTAAATATTTTTTGGAAAATCTTATTGAAATAAACATTATTATAGATAAAGAAGCCAAATCTATAGTTTTTAGAATTTTCGTCAGTCTGTCTGTTTGTTACCGTATCACAGAAAAACCACTGGTGGGATTTTGATGAAATTTGGTATGGTGATAGCTGGTTATCCGGGTCAACATATAGAATAGTTTTTACCGTGGCAAAATATCTCATTTCTGAGTAAAAATGCAAAAACTGCAATATAAGAGTATACTAATCTGTAAGACCTAAGAATTTGACTTTTGGTTATCTGAACGCGTGTGGAGCCGCGGTCAATGCTATTAATAAATAAAAATGAATGTTCATATGTTTGCCTTCTATGTGTTCCTAAACCATTGATCGGATTGTGATGAAATTCTGGTGCATTTATCTTGCATACGCCTGCGAAGGTTTCTGGTGTTTTCCTTTAGACATTTATCTTTTACGAGTATGTGTGCCTAACCGAGCGAAGCGAGGGAAATTCGCAAGTTATATTAAAAATTCTAGTATAATATAAAATTTAATGTTTTTAATTCTATTGCAAATACTCTTAAAGTTAAAAATATAAAGTATATCGTTCAGATACAATAGCAGAGCATTATTGGATTCTGTGTACGAAGAAACAAAGTATCACATAAGCTTTGTGGGCATAAACTAGTTGAGTATTTTTTCGGTGCCAGTGTTTGGTGATTTTATTGCCGACCTCTGGCGTGTAAATCTGGTACACCGGTGAATGAAAAATGAGGAGTCTCAATTTTCTTTTGTTGGTTTGTCTCGCAGTACAATGTTTTATAGACTTGTTATGAGTGTCCGTTGATTTTTAGTAACAGAGTGTTGTAGAATTTATTGAATTTAGAAAATATTAAAGCCTTACTTACCCTCACTTCGCTTGGATGTGTTCCTACGTGTCTCTTGCCGTATATTTTATTGCTTTATTTTAAACCGAGTAGGAGGCGCACGCCGATAAAGCAGCTAGAAATAAAATAGCCAGCTTGTTACCAATTTTAAATAAAATTGTTATAATTTCTAACAATAAACTTATTTTTATCGAAAAATAGTCTATAGCAATTGGCGGTAATGTTAGTAAAAGAATTTTCATAATATGATCAGTAATTTCAGATATTATAGATTCAGATAAATACCCTTTATACAAACTAATAATATATAAACTTACAAATTAACTATACTAATATTATAAAGAGGTAAAGTTTGTGAATTGTGAGTTTGTGACGTTGTAGGGGGTAATCTCTGGATCTACTGAATTGACTTAGATACTTTGAGACCCTAGGAAGAAGTAGGATACTGTTATCCCGGAAATCATCCCTTAAAGGGGTGAATGGGGATGAAGTCAAATCTATAAAATAAAAAGTGGCAACCAAAACAATTCCTGCTAAACAATACCAAATGGATTTTTATTATAAAAACAATTTTATACAGTAATAAATATACAGTATAGTATGAATGTACGCTTATTGTTGTGTTTTTAAATGTGGTATTTTAAAGGGCAAGAATGTTCTATTAAATCAGTGTAACGTGCTTTTGAAATTTTATAAAGAACGACACAATCGGGATAGGATATGCGCTGTCACCATTGTTTCCTTTGCAATTCATTAGTCAGAAACTGGAGCAGGATTTATGCAGCATTATCTGTGACATTGATGAGTTCGGGCTCTAGTGTACTATGTCCTACATTGGTAATTAGTAGTAGGACTACACGTTCCGTTTAAAGGTCAAAATATCATTATCGAACAATCTAAAGATAAAATGTATTTCAGATAGATTTTCACAAGTACTTTTGAATATATTTACTCTTTAAGTTTTATATTAATGATCACGTAAAAACCGTCCGTCGGTTTCTATGCCGTCGGTCAATCTCACATAGACTATGTGAGCAGGAGATAGTAGAGATGTAGTGCATAATTGATATTTCGACACGACCTTTGACAGTTCATGCATAATATCGACGGCTTTACGTGCCTTCGGAACACTGCCATTTTCTAAACAAAAAAATCGATTAGGTATGTAAATATATTTGACTCGATTTAGGACTCGCAAGACCATATCTATCTATACTAATGTTTTAAAGAGGTAAAGTTTTGTGAGTTTGTGACGTTGTATGGGGTAATCTCTTGATTTACTGAACCGATTTGTATTAAATTTGGTAAGAAGATAGTTTGAACCCTGGAAAGGACATAGGATACTTTTTATCCCGGAAATCATCCCTTAAGGGGGACAAAATGGGGTTGAAAGTTTGTATGGGGAATCAAGCTAGGGACGAACCCGAGCGAAGCGAGTGTGAGTCGCTAGTCATTAATAAAGTCACAAAACATCATTTTGAAACAGTAACAGACAACTTCACGGCCAGATATATGACATGAGGATGTTCAGAAAGTGCATTCTAATATTGAATCGCACTCTCAAGTACAATCAAGCACCTCTTGACATTTTCAAATATTCGATTTGTATTTGCAATACTCATCTCTCACTCGACATTGAAAGAGAAATGGTTAATATTTTAAAGTCAGTAGCATATGAGTTTTCAATAGGTATATAATGAATACATTCTTGATAGTTTATATATTTTCTACTAGCGACTTACCCTCGCTTCGCTCGAGTGCGTCCTTAAATGTTCGTTTTATTTTTTTTCGAGCGAGACCCTAACTGTTTTTCTAAATTAAAGGTAACCTAAGTTACTCCTTATAACATCAGCTATCTGCCAGTGAAAGTCCCGTCAAAATCAGTCTAGCCGTTTCGGAGATAGCCGGAACTAATAGATAAACATAAAAAATGTGTGTTTTCTTATATATCCATATATTTCTAATATATATATATTTCTTATATACCTACCTACCGTATATAATTTCTTAAGCATTTAGTTGTAAAAAGCTATTGTTTTGAGATTACAGACACTTACATTTTATTTATCTGTACAGATAATCTAAACGGTACTTTAAGCTATTAGAAAAGGAGGAAAGATGTAGAAAATATTATGAATTATAGTGCGTCGTATACAATATTACATACGTATTAAGTGATCGATTGATGAGATTTCTGTGTCCATAAAATGTTCTAAGTGGCGCTAATAATGCTTACTCGTTTCTATTAAGTATAATGGAATTATGGTAGAAAATTGCGTCGGCTAAATAAAAATAGTTGTTAATTTAATAATGTTTTTAGTGCGTATATTGCGTTATTGAAGTGCAAAAAATAGTATAATAAGTCAGTAAATAATATTTTTATTTCTCTGATATTGTAGTTTAATAATTTATTAAAAGATTGTTAAAACAAATATTTATCTACTTTTAAATAAATTACACATATTTGTAACTTGAAAGTTATTTATGATCATGAGTGGGTTATATAAAATGGTAAATTAAAATGAAACATCGATTTCGAATTCGAATATTGTTATTTTATATATTATTCTACTTACACGTGGTTTGCCGGTGAATGGAGCACGTGGGGCGCGGTCGTTCGATACAGCGGAGGCTGCGCGTTGAGCTGAAGCCCGGAACTTTCAGCCCGCCAGTTATCTCTGAGCCATCCTACCCCTCACGCTTCCACTTGTTTCACTACAAGCAGAAACATCTCGACAACAGACGGAGGTCTCGCATGGCTGGCCGCCTCATCTCGTGCCAGTTACGCAAGATCCATCCCGCTACTATAATACTATTGCCCGTTGCATAGAAAGAGCGTTTAAAGTGGTTTACTGGTGTTCGTAGATGTATTTAGTAGAACGATTATTAAATCTCTAAACCGTAGAGTTATTATTTATACTTGGTTAATTTAAATATAATTATTTTATTACACGATATGTAATGACTTTTTTTCTTTTTAAGAGTATTCAGAAAGTCATACTATTTAATTTTGCTAACATTTTTAATAAGTCAACAACCTTGGATGCTCGCGTTAGCTCGGTACATACCGACTTAAAGATGTAACTTTGTTATTAGTGATTTTCTATCAATAAAAAAAATTTAGTAAGTACTTAAAAAGCTTAAATATGTTATTTTATTGTCACAATCGTATAAATATAGTAATGAATTATTGATTAAATAAATTAATAACGAATAATTTATAGTATCGATCTTTGAACTGTTTCTACTGCGTTAAAAGTTAATCTGGTCCTACACAAATAATCCAAACCAATTTGCATTCTTTTCATTAGTATGAATGCAGCCTTGATGTTTTTACGTTGTATTTTTAGGGACATTTCTAACCCGCGTCCTTTCTCTTTCCCGCCTTTATCTCGTTCGCCGAGCTAGCGAGATATGTATGTGTATATAGTAGAAAATTATTAGTATTGTAAACGTAAATAAAATATTTTGTAACAATTACAAGCAAAATTTACAAAGTTTAAAAACAAGAATGAAAACACTAAACTGGGGATAGGCCGACAGATGGCACTTATCCCAAAGCTGTGAACTAATTTATTTTATTAGTATCAGTGCAATAAAATTAGTAAAATCTATACATCTATACATAAGATAAATAAAATTGAAGTGTCTGTTTGTAAAGTCAAAATAACAGCATTTTACTAAATACATATGAAATTATATACGGTACTTATAAGAAAAACACATTATTTTCATTTTTGTCTGTCTGTTTGTTCCGGATAATGTCTGAAACGACTGAACTGATTTTGACAAGACTTTCACTGAAAGGTTATACACTGATGTTATAGGGAGTAACATAGGCTACTTTTATTTTAGAATAAAGAAATAGGGTTCCGCTCAAAAAAATTAAAATGTACCTAGGGAACGAGCGAAGCTAGGGGGAATCGCTAGTTTGCTATAGGTATATGCAAAAACAATACCGGCAATTACAGCGCGTCCAACCAGTATCAATAACTCATAAAATTCGAACATCGTATATATGTACACTTGTACAGTATACTTCATTAGTGTTATTTTTTTACCTAATACGTGATATTCTAATAGTCAGTAAATAAGTAATATTGTAAAGATTTAAAAACCTATTATATAATTTTTCATGGATGTCTTTTTAATTAAAATACTTATGCAAATTATAAAATGTACATATTTTTAGAATCTATTTAATTACGTAACATCGATTACAAATACATATTAAGCTTATCTATGTACATATATAGAGTCAGTAAGTATTGTTATTATTTTTCAACAGAACGTCAGAAAACGTTCGAAAAGCTTCTATTGTCAAACTAAAAAAAATGTTAAAGAATGTTTTTAATATACAATTTAGATTTTATAGAAGATGGCACGCCTTGATGATGATGTGATCGCCTCTAGGTCTACTTTAATGTTGTAAAATTATTGTGATTTATGAGGTAACTTGTAATTCTAAATTTATAATGTAACTAAAATAATTTTGGTCCTGCTGAGTTTCTTTCGCCAGTTCTTCTCAGATCTATGGTCTTCTTTTTTTGCGAAGTGTAGTACAGTAGTGGACTCATGACGTTCAGTAAAGAAATGTAATAAATTAATGCTGAATAAAACATTTCTAATTTGAGTTTTAAATATGATTAAAAATTAAAATGCATATTTAAATAGAATCAAATCAATTATTCATTTTTTATTACACAAATAAAACTGTATCGCTTAAAAATTCTCGGTTTAAATCTATATTTTTACGTTTGAATCACATTATCTAACCTACCTTTACATGTTAGGTAAATCTATTTCCGACCCTTATTATATATCAAATTGCAAATAATAATGTTGAATTAGGACATTGCAAAATTTAAGGTTTCTTTTTACACCAAACGATTTTCAACCTTAACTCGTTAGATTAAAGATTAGATTTCTAACTAAACGATTACATCATTTTATGCTCCTTGTCTTCTGAGTCTTATTTCGTTGGGAATAGGGTACATATTTTATAATATTTTGATTCGTTGATGGGGATCTTGGGTAGGTACGTGGGAGTTCTTCGTCGAGATAAGAAAGGTTATTGAACCTACGATTTAGTTCTTTTTATATACCGATCCACATTGTATAAGTTTTTATTACAAAGGAATATCTCAAAAACGTTAGTACTAACTCACTAAAAGAGCTCTCTGGCAGTGGTAGCCCAGTGTTGATGCGCTCGCTTGTGTAACCGAGTGAAGTGGGTTCAAATCCCGGGTCTCGCACCTCTGATATTTTCATGTGTGAATCATTTTTCAACAAGATTATCACTTGCCTTACGGTGAAGGAAAACATCGTAAGGAAACCTGCATGTCTGAAAGAACCTAGCAAGTTTTCGAAAGACATGTGAAGTCTGCCAACCCGCACTTGGCCAGCGTGGTAGACCCTGCCTGATCCCCCTCATATTGAAGGGAGGTCCGTGCCCAGCAGTGGGACGTTAAGAAGGGCTGAATACAAAAGAGCTCTCATGAAGAATACATAATATGTCTGAGGCTATAAAAATATTAAAAATATTTTGCATATTTTTTTCAAGATTTTTACTTAATATACATACAGATAATTATAATAAACTAATTACTATATTATTTTTTTCAATAGTTACAATGAATTAATTATAAATTTAGGTAATAATGAATTTTGTGAATTTTCATTAAGATATAAAGAATATTATATCTTAATGAAAATTCATACAAAAAAATATTAAAATTATTTGCTGATTTACGAAATCTTATCTAGTATCTAGCGACTCACACTCGCTCGCTCGGGTTCGTCCCTACTTACGTTTTAACGTTTAGTATAGATTTCTCAGAAATCAGATATTTTCCCGCAGTACTAAGTATCCTATATGTTGACCCGGACAACTAGCTATAACCATACATTCAATCAAAATCTCTCCAGTGGTTTTTCCGTGATGCGGTCACAGACAGGCAGACAAAAATTCGAAAAATAGATTCGGCCTCTGTATCGATAATAATGACAGTCTATTTCAGTAAGATTTTCCAAACAATATTTAATGTAGGTACAGATTCGGCTTAGTTATAATTTTATCATATGTATAGACGTACATTAGTCCCAACGACTTGGATACAAATAACATTATAAGTAATATGAATAGACAAAAATAGAAAAAAAAATCTATTATAATATATTAATACTTGTTAGCGAACTAACGTAAAGACTGTCACCTACAAACGTATTCAATGAACAAGCTGCCTTTTGGCACTGCTGCAAAAACTACTTCATTCAAATCTGAACTTAAAATAACCAAGTCTCTATTACATTGTGCAACAAAAATACTCTCAACTTTGAACTCGATTCTTTTTTCTATTTCAGTGTTTACATTTGAAAAGCGACCTTGTATCTGTAAGATTTGACTTATGTTTGAGGTGAAAGGGTAGTCTTTGTTGGATTTTTGCTAGTTTTCTTTTATACCCTTTGTCGCTACTTTGAACGAGGTTCCGAACCTTCGAACCGACCTTTCGTTTATAATGTGTTTTATACGGTCAATGTAAAGCTCTCGGAGAAACCTTTTGAATATCACAAACCTATTCAAACTTATCAAGCTATTGTTAGTTTCATTTCTTTCATAAACCAAATGTTAGACATCAAAATTTATAAGATTTTTTTTGATGCGGAAGGATATTCAAAGAAATCAGTGATTTTATTCGTGTAATAACGTTATGAATTTTTATTTGATACTAGCGACTTGTTCTCGTTTCGCTCGGGTGCGTTCCTAGGTAAGCGGATATGTTTAAATTTTGTTTGGGCTTGATTCTTTTTCTAAAATAAAACTAGCCTAAGTTACTCAATATAACATTAGCTATTGGCCAGTGAAAGTCCCTTTAAAATAGGTCCAGCCGTTTCCGAGATTAGCCGGAACAAAAAGACAGACAGACAAAAGTTTTAAAAATTGTTTTTTTTCTTATCAGTAGGTATCGTATATATACTCGTACTTTCATATGCATTTAGTGGAAAGCTGTTATTTTAACATTACAAACAGATACTTACATTTTATTTATCTGTGTAGATAACAGCTTTTATCTTAGGGTAAGTAAACGTAGGCAAAGACAAAACAGTTCAGCAAACCTTTTTCTCTTCGGTTCAGTATTCTTTTCGCTGTTTGTTAATCAATTTTATTTTCAATAGTTATTGACGTGCTTTAGTGATATCAATAAATCATTTTGGAAACAGTTTTTTTTGATGTATGTATAGATAGGAAAATTTTATTCATATATGTTTTTTTAACCTTAATAACGATTATGGTCGAATTTTATAACTGAGCGAGAACTAGTTACAATAAATATTTTAGTACACTCAAGGAATATTAGATTTTTCCATATAAAAGATGGAAAGCAGTCAGGAATTACTTCCGCTACATTACTTAAGTTTATTAGAAGTCTTACAAAAGTAACATGAGTTCAGGTCATTGTGTTTTAGGTCAACAGCATGTTAATCACATATGTTGATGCTCAAAAGACTACAGCCTTTGATCTTATTAGAAAACGCTGTTAACTTTGATTCTCGAGTTAGTACTTAACTTCCACTTTTACTTTTTCAACGTTTTTTTTTATATAATGGGGGATGCTAATCACACTAGTACTATAAGTGCGAGAGTTTGTTTGTGTGTCTGTTTGTTATTCTTTTACGCGTAAACGGCTTGATGGATTTGGATGAAAAGTACACATATAGATTATGATCTGAAGTAACACATCGGTCTGACATGTTAATAATAAAATTTGATAAAAGGTGTCGCCGATTGTTTGCCAAAATATAATACATTCATATACTGTACTAGTC